GCCCCCGGGGACTGAAGAACCCGCACCCGGAGGACCCCCCGTTACCGAGCAGAAGCACGATCCCCCGCAGAAGGAGGAAGAAGCCGCCGCCGGCCGCCGCCGCCTCGCCGCACCCCATCCCGGCTGCGCTCAGGGCCGCAACATGGCGGCCCACCTGCGGGCTGCGCAGGTGAGGGCGGGAGCCGCCCCAAAATGGCCGCCGCCGGTCGCCATGGCGACGCGTCGCCCGGCAGCGGAGGGGTCCGGCCCGGCCACCGGGCCCTGCCCTCTCGGGAAGGAGCGGGTACCGAAAAAGCCTGGGCCGTCCGATTCGGGGTTACCCCATTCTGGCACTTTTTCCGGGCAGAAAAGCCCTGAAAGGAAAAGAGGGCGCAGCAGCATGATGCCTCTGTGACACCCGCACCGCTCTCCACCAGGCGCGTTTATTTATGGCACTCATGATAGAAAATGAAAACATATAAACAGACAATGTGGCCAGCACATTACAGGCAGAGATATAAAGTCATAAAGATACTCTTTAAACAAACAGGTTGATGTTGTCATAGAATGATACAATAGAATCATAGAATGGTTTGGGTTGGAAGGGACATGAAAGACCATCTCGTGCCACCCCCTGCCCTGGGCAGGGACACCTCCAGATTTGGCCAGAGCCCCCTCCAATCTGGCCTTGAGCCCCTCCAGGGATGGGGCAGCCACAGCTTCTCTGGGCAACCTGGGCCAGGCTCTCACCAGCCTCAGAATGACAAATTCCTAAATCTCCCCTCAGCTGGAGAGCCGAGGGGAAAGGAGGTCACCGTTGGGATGCACCGGCAGAGATGGAGTGGGAAAAGGAGCTGCCAAAGGGCAGCAGAAGGCAGTGTCCTCGCTACCACCGTTACCAGGCCTACTGAAGCTGCAAGAGGTCGATATGAAACACACACCCACTGGAAAACATCATCCCCAGTAAGAAACAGCACACATTACCCATACTGTAGCACTTCCAATTTAAAGCAGCAAAGAGATTTAAAGTATGTTGCAGCAGCCAGCTGCTCCTGTGATCCCTCCATAGTCAGTCTTCCTTTTAGTGTCATCAAAGAGGATTTTCAGGGAGGGAAAACCAGGGCAACACAGACGCACCTCGCAATTTTTAAGGTGCAAGAATGCGCCTGCCCAGACACTTTGAAAATCTCTGTTCAGTCAGCAGTCTTGGCATTTTGTTCAAATCTTTTGTTGGCACTTTTTTCATCTTCAGAGCAGCCTTCTTCACATTCTGCAGCTGCAAAGATGAAGGAAAGTTCCTTGTTTAGGAGGCAAGTTCCTCCTGGTTTGTTTCAATGAAGGAAATTTACAACTGATGTTAATGGCAGCCTCTTGCCAGAATTTCAGGTTGAGCAGGGAAACCACTCGCACCGCGAGACATCTGTAATTCAGCTTTGTTCTAACATCCAAAACTACAAGCTTTCACCGTCTGCTTTAGAAGTACCTAAGAAGGAGAATTATAAGAAAAACAAAACAGAGTCATTACTCAGGGTTATTGTTGAAAACAAAAGTAGTAGAGCCAACTGCTGACCTCAGAAACAGAGGGGATAAAAATTATGCTGAAATGTTTCAACAAAGCCAGCAAATCTGGAAGCAACTCCCGTCTTCCTGTAGCAATTTTAAAACAATAAAGATTAAATGAATCAAAAAGCAGATTCAAAACTGGTGAAAGGAAATGAATTCATTAATTCCTCTTTATCCACAAAGCAGGCCTGTCACGGAGAGCAGCAATAATGGCTTTCCTACAAACAATCCTCAACACCAGGGTGGAGAAATTTCTTCTACAGCTAAGAGGGAGCTGTCTCCACTGCCTGTTTAGTTCTCAATCTCTCTCTGAAGGCTCCTTAAGCACACAGTGTGACTGTGGTCCCAGTTGTTTCTGCTTAAGGCTACCACAGCCTGTTGACTGTGAACAGAAGTGAAATACCCGAGTAAAACTGTCTTAGGAAGTCTGCAGTGACACTGACACATTCATTAGAGAATGTTTTAATAGATACCTACATTATATATTCCAAAGACCTCTAGTCTTCTAATGGACAAGCTTCCTTTTCTTCTGTATTCTTCAGCTTCTCCTTTTCTCTACTGTTATAAAGAAAGAGACAGGGGAAAGAAAAAAGTCCAAATCAGAGATCCTGAGCAGTAGAATTACATTCTGAGTTACATATAACAGACATAACATAGAATGAGAAGTTATATGATAAGATAATAAGCATCCTACAGGCATGGTGACCACAGGGGCAGGTTCATGGAGCAAAGAACAGAGCTATCATCTCCCAACACCACCACAGCACCCGGGTCCTTCTCTGAGCGTGGAGCCACTGTGAAGCGCAAGAGCCAAACAAGGACTCCAGAGCTCACTCATCCTGGGGCCCTGTTCTGACTGCAAGCAAGCAGCCAATTATTGCTAATTGTGCTGGCAGTTTTGCATTGTAGACGCTTAGTGTAGGGTCCAAGACAATGATTCAGAATAGCTACGAGGATATATTTGGCAAGCTTTCCCGGAAGCCTTTCTCTCTCTCCTCCATCCTTACAGTTCAGTGTCTGTCACCTCGATCCTCTTCTCTTGCGCTTTCTTCCGATGGTGTCGACAGATAATTACAACTATGACCACAATGATCATCAGAACACAAGCAGATCCAATAGCCACTGCCAGGAAATGGATTTCTGAGAAATGCACTGCATGGAGAAAAACAGATAAATGAACGAGTGGGACACACAGAAGGCTCTCGGAATGGGGCTGGGAACCTCTATCTGTGAATATAACCTTTCCTAAGGCTCCTTTTTAATTCATATCCATTAACTACCCTCTCATGCTTTCTCTTTATAATCCCTTTTCTTCCATACATTGGCCCAAATGTGGAGGAAGACCTGCCAATGCTTCGCACTGGCTAAATTCACATCACCTCTGGGGGTGGTTCTTGGCCGCTCACCTTTCTGCACAACTCTGAGCCGCACTTCACCAATTGTGCCACCAACGTCGGGTGGGTTCTTCACCTGGCAGGTGAACGTCCCATTGTCAGTGGGCTGCAGATTCCAGAGAACGATGGAAACATCATGACGCTCAATGTTCCCATCCCAGGTGACTCGCTCTTTAAACCGCCCAGCAGGCAGCTTGTAGGGCTCCTTGAAGTAATAAAATACCTAGGGGAAAGAGAGGAAGGTGTCATTCCCAAGCTCTGTGCAGCCAAGGTGGAAGCAGCACATGGAAGTGGAGCGGCAATGGCCAAGTCACTGTGTTGGCCCAGTCACTCTCAGATGAACTCTGGGGCCATTTCAAAAGAGAGTGCCTTTGTTCCAGCAGCCACACGAGCTCTGTCCTGCTCAGGCCCAAGGCTTCCTTAGGTGCATTCAGCTGTCTCTCAGTTACACGGCAGTACAAGTTGAACCGCTTGCCCTGCCATGTTGGCCAAGGCAAAACACTCTAAGTGGTGTCAGATGCAGGATGTCAGCAAAGACATCGGGTTCAGCTGTGGTGTAAGCAGGTACAGTTTCATCAGGCCCCAGATATTTTAACCCGGCTTACCCTTTAGCCGGGGTATGCAACCAAAACTTCGTGCTCAGAGTAATCATTATGAATCGCAGAGAAAAAGCCCAAAGATGTACATCCTTGTGTGCTTTGGCTGCGCTTGCCTCTGCCCACACCTGGAATTGCTGCAGTCACTGGGCTTACTCAGTGCTGGGCTTTGGGAATGGTTGTTCGGGCAAGCGTGCATCACTGAAATGGAGCAAAAAGGTCTCACTCACCGGCTCGTGAGAGCTCTGGTCCTCAGGCTGGAAGTTCCAGGTCACTGACAAGTGCTGGCTAACAGGGCTGCTGCTGGAAAAGGTGCATTTTAACCGCAGGTTAGTGCCGTTCACAGCATCCACCTCCCTGGAAGTGTGAACTTCCACGGCTGCCGCAGGCCAGAGTGCTGGAGGGAAAACAGGAGGTGTTAGAGGTAAAGAAAACTACCATCTGGGAGCAAGCTCATCACTTTTCTTTATCTGCATTTAATCTATGCAGGAGCCTGCCTTATCTATCCCAGTCAGTGTTTAACCAGACAGTCGGCAATCACACAGATGTAATTACTGAGGGAGGTGATCCTGTGTATGCAGAACACAAGAGATCCCCTGTGCTTCATGGATTTTGTCTGTTGATGTGCAAGCTGCACAGTGCTGGTTTCAAGGGAGTCTGCATTCTTCTATATTGCCAGTACAGAGCTTTCTCTACAGTTGTGTGGCTGCAAGTTAAACCAATCTGATAACCGGTTGAGAGAGGACCACTGACAAGGTTTTGCCTATAGGGACAACAGACTTTGTTTTGGGGGGAAATGTCTCTCTATGGGCATAAGCAAACTTGACATCTAGGAGGTGCAATGGGGTATAAATGCTACGCCTATTTAAATACATACTTGGTCCTGACTGGCACTAAAGGTATCAGATAACTTCTCACATGCTTGTCCTGGTCACATTATCAGAAATGGTTGGACTTTACTACACTCAATTCGCCAAGCAGATTTCTTCAGAAAAGCGGTCCTGCCCTTTGAATCTGGGCTGCTGAGCCCCAATAAACAATCGCTATTTCCCATGCTAAAACTTTCCTTTATGGACTTTGTATTATTAGCCCAAGCATCACGTACACCACAGCGAAAACGCTCTTATTGATGAACAAAGTGCCTGTTAGAAGGTTAACAGCCCAGCTGGACAACTATAGTCAAATATAGTCAGGCTGAGGAACCCTACAGGAAATCCTCTAGGTAAATCTGTAAGCATTTGTTTGTCAAAGAAACATCCTCTGTTAACCAAACCACTACAGCTGCCACTTTAAAAATAAGTTAGCATCGCTAACTCGATGCTTCCCTGCAAGAGAGATAATCAGCAAGAGAGAGCATCAAGACACAGGGGAGAAAAAAGAAAAAAAAAAAAGAAAAAAAAAAAGAAAAAAGAAAAACAGGAAAACCAAAGAATTTCTGGTGAAGATGCCTCTCATGCCTGAGCCCTAGTTGTCCTCTGGCTTGCCCTGCTGTCCCAGAGAGAGTTCAATCCCTCTGGCAGATTGGTGCTACCAAACCGGTGATGCTCTAAGTTCTCACTTTTCCCCCCACCACGGCTGTGCTGCTTGCCTGACTGCTCTAGCTCTCCAAGTTAGTTCCTGCAAAGCAGCAGTGCTGAGCTAAAAATCTTGCAGCTGCTGAAAGGGAGAGTTCATCGTTCCTAATCATGTGCTCCCTTAGTTTTCCTTTACACAATTGTAAAACCAACCCTGTAGAGAGAGAGAAAATATTAACTCATCTTCCTGAAGTAGCAGGAAATTATTATCTCACCCCAGCGTGATTCAGGAAAAAAAAGAAAAAAAAAAAAAGCTTATCTGGAGTTGTAAAAAATGGGTTCATAACAAAGAAAATCAATACATTTTCTGTATTTGAAAGTAATTTATAACCAAAGACTTCCTTGCCAAGCAATTTCTTTTCTCAAAGGAGAAAATATTAGAAATGCCAAAACATTTAAGGTGTTCACATTTGAAAACCTTCATTGGCATCCAGAGATTCGCTGTCAAATCCATGCATTTCAAACTCCTTTAAAAGAACAACTGTGGGAAATAAGCGTAAAATACTTTTTCAAAGACAGATTACAAGCCTCTCTGTGTGCTGATGCATTTGGGAAAGGAGGACAGATGGTCTTAGATTCCAGCTATATTGATATAAGCCACTTAAAACTCAAGCAAGTTTATTGTCGGTCTGGAGTCGTTGCTGTGTGGCGGATCTAAACCCAGCGCTGCTTAACAATCTCCGATTGTCCAGTAACAAAAATAGTGAAAAAAGCCATCTAGGAGTAAAGTCCAAATTCCTGGCAGGAGAGGAAAAGATGTGTAACCAGAGCTCAGAATGAGATCAGTGTTCTTCTTCCACCTGAACACACCTAAACCTGTTTGTCCAAGAAACTCAATCCCTTCGTGTCACTTGCAGTGAACCCCGGACTGAAAGAATCACAGCAATCCTCCGCAACGAGCACCCGAGACTCCTGTAAAGTCTCTGCCTTAATTAGGACAATAATTAAGAGCTCAGAAGAGGAAAGTCAAGATGGCAACGGAGGCCAGACGGTTCCAGGTTTCCTTACCTGGGAGCTGCACCCCAAGGAAGAGCACAGCACCCAGCCAGCTGGGGCCGTGCATCGGGAAGACAAGTCCGTACTCCACAGGCTGAGCAGAACTGGAAAGAGAAACTCCTTTCAGGTTCTCGATGCCGGGTGAAAGATGAGTTTTCTCAAAATCTTCCCAGCAGAGTAGACCAAATTCCTTTCTCGCAGCTTGGCCCGCAAGGCGCTGTGAGTCAGTGCTCCCTGCCCTCCCACTGAAAGGCAAGGTGCGGCCAGCACGGCTCACTCCTCTGCGTAAAGGAGAGAGATTCTCAAGGTAAGATTAACTTCTGCCTCCCATATTCCTTTGCTCTTTCGTGTTGCAATCGTCTCTCCTCCCAGCTTCCACCTGAAACCACTCCCCTCTTGTGGGAGGTAATTATGCTCCTAAAAAAAAATTTGCCTGAGGGTGTTTACAGATACCCTGAAGGAATGAGGGCCATTAGTATGGCAAAACCCTGCACAGGATCAAAAATAAGCAACCCAAGGTAGGCAGACTGTAGCAGCACTGTGGGCACACATCCAGGGGATGGAAATGTTCTACTAAAACACAGACACCTATAGCAAATGGGAGCGATCATTTTAACGTCGCTTGGTTGCAGCCGTCCCGCAGAAGAACTGGGAAGCTGCACTAACTGGTACATGTAAAGTTCTTAGAAAAGTCAAAAGACAGCTACATCCAGCCTAGTGGCAGTCCAGGCACAGGTGGGGAAAACCAAGCTTACAAGCAGCACAAGGTATTAGAGAAACTCAGAGCGACACAAATTGTTTTCCTGGTGGCACGTGGCATTGGTGAGAGCATGAGACTGAGCTGTGCATGCGTGTTGGCAAAACAAGGATGTTTGCCTTTGAAGACTGTAAATCACTTTAACAGCAGAACCTGCTGCTGGTTGTGGCTGTGTTTGATCCATGGCTTAGTTCCAAAAAGTCATCCCAGGTTATAAGCTTTTGTTGTTACTAATGCTAATTTTCCTTGCAGCAGTGCCAAGGCAGGGACAGGAGGATGCCCCAACCTCTGGATGTTTTGAAGGGTTCCCTCCAGCTCTGAGCTGAGGAGCAAAGTGAGGGCACTCCGCTGCGCAGCAGCATGGGCTCCAACTGGGATGTTTGGGATTACCTGGGACACGCTGAGAGGATGTCAGAACCGGCCAGAACAAGGTTTTGGTGGAACGAGGACAGCAGCAGGACTCTCAGACTTCCACAAGGACATCTTTCCTCCCATTTGCTGTGTAACATCCTTGTGGCAGTTTCTGAAGTGAACACTGAATTTATTTTCACCTTTTAAACTTCAGGTTACAAATTTGACAATGCAAAAAAAAAACAAAACGCTGAGGCCATCAGTGTTGCAGATGGTCCACAGAACAGCACAGAGAATCTTGTCTCTGCTAATAGCCCGGAGATAGCATATATCTCTATTTCCATGGGAATAACCTGGCCCTTCGTTAACCCTTCATCACTTCATCTCCCCAGAATTTCACTCAGTTACACCCAGTGTCATCTCCAGTTTCTTTCACTGCCACTATGAGAACCGATTAGGCTGGGGTTCTTTCTTTGTTTTGCAAACAAAGGCTACTTTCGCCTTATCAGATTTTGTGTAAAGTATCTGTAAGGCCGAGCTCAGCAGCCAGTTTGCTGCCACTTCCTAAGACTGTCTTCCTACACAGCAGCAGCTTCTCTCCCTCAGGCGCTCCTGTTGCCCATACCGCATCCCTGTAACGCACAGGGCTGGGAAGAGGGGCTGTTCTGATCCTTATTTGCAGAACTTCACTAACCTTCAACATCTTGTTTCAGAGAGTGCTGACTCCAGCTGTCAGCAGTCGGAAGACCGTGTCCCTGGCATCTTTACTAGTAACCTAAATTCTCTGATGTTTCATTTTGAAATAAGTAAAAGAAAGATCTGAGAGCTAAAAAGAGCACCCCAGTAAATGAATCGGGGCCCAGAGCATTGTGATTATCCACGTTGTTGAACGGTGAGCTCTTGGGAAGGAGCGAGAAGCCAGCTCCGTCCTTCCAGGCATCTGGAAAAGTGTCCTGTGAGTGGGACATCTGTGTGGCAGGTGTGGAAACGACCCCCACCCCAAAGTCTGCTTTGGGCACGTACCCTCAAATCCCCACTATACTCCCGACCGTACCGGCAGCTCCGCTGCCCCTGCAGGCTTCGAGCGGGGGGGGGGGCAGAAAGACAGCGCGTTCCCACTTCGTCCGGGCTGGATTTCCATCCCTGCTGGAAGCGAAGCTCGGCGAGGCCCCCGCCCGGCTCCCGTGGGGGGGTGCGGGGCTGTGCCCGCCCCCGGTGCCGGTGGGGACGGAGCCGGGTCCCTGCGGGAGCCAGCCGGGGCGAGCGGAGCGGGGCTGGAAGGGCTGCGAGCGCCCTCTGCTGGAGGCCGAGCGCCGCTGCTCGGGCCAGCGCAGCCCTGAGCCCTTCTCCGCGGGGAGCCGGTGGCAGAGGTGTGTGAGCACAGCACCCGCCTGGAAGGGTGTCTCGGGCGCTCCCAAGGCTCTGCTACAACCGTGGTCCCTTCCGCGAGACACAGGCTTTCTCCAAGGAGATGCCTTCCCCCCAGCATTTACCTTTTTGTAAGAGCAGCCAGACGTAAATATGGTTTAAAGAAATGATGCTGAGTTCATTGTGGGTGCAATTCATAACATGCTGCATGGAAATGTTGAATTGCTTTTGCAGTCTCATATTGAAACCAAGGAGAAACAGCACCAGATCCCCCTTGTCAGGAGCACGTGTCACAGGGCACCTGTTGGGAACGGAGCATCGGCGTCAGGTCAGCGCTTGCAGCAGGACTGGTGGGCTTCACCGCCCCTTCCACTGCGCTCCTCGCTCTCAATGCCTGGGTGGAGGCGAGTCGGGGTGAGGAGCTGGCAAACACCACCCTTGAAGACGCAACAGGAAAAAACAGGTTGTGTTAGAGCAAAACAACAAAAGCAGAGTCTAGTTAGCATCATCAGTGACTAAAACCCCTGGGGTTTTACTGCCTGGCACTTACATGCTCTTTTCTGCTGGCCATACAGCATCTCTAGGTGCTGTACCATTTCTGGTTCCTTCGTGTGTTCCCCCGCTATGCTAAGTTGCTTGCAGTAGTTTGAACTTCAGAAACACTCGCTTTGAAGTGTTGTGAGGAAGGTCCCGATGGCAAATCTAATGCACGTTTATCCCTCCTGCTGCTCCCAGGGCAGTACAATGGGTCTCCTGAGCCTTGCACTGGGCTGGTGCAGAGCAGCCACCCCTTGCTGTCAATGACGTTCCGTGAAGACGTTTTGAGCCTCCACACTTCCTGACACGGGCTTACTTTACCATTGGTGTTCCGTGTCTCTCTCGGCTGCTCGCAGGTTTCACTGGAAACAGTGAGTCTCCCCAGTGCTGCTCAGTTCGTTGCCGTACACAATTCTGGGAAAAAAAGTCTTGGGCTTCTTTCTTGTAAGCAAGAACTTGAAAAGCCAACGTGTTCTTTCTTCCCTCGCAGCCAGCTGCGCCAATCTGATGTGGTAGAGAACAGCAAGAGAAGGAGGAAGACGACGATGAGGCTGGAGTGGTCCTTGCCTCTGCTGGGACTCCTGCTGTGCGTGGGTGAGTACAGCCAGCCAGAAATCCATGGGGAAATCCATGGGCATGCAATGGGTGGCTGCAGAGGAGAAAGCACAGGGTTTGGCAAAGTACCTGCGTATACACTGCACGTGGATCTGCTGCTCTCCAGAGTGAGCCTTCCCTTCAGGTTACAGGGGCAGAGGAACGGGAATCCGGCCCTCTCAGGCTAGAGAGAAGAATCCAAGGTCCCTAGGGAATTTTGGCTTACCAGATGAGTCACTCAGATACCTGCTCTCCAAACTTCACGCGGGAGGGTTGGAGCTCAATGCGCTGCTTTCTGCAACAGCGTGCACTATAAGGTTCTGCAGGTTTACTATGATTTTTATGCTTTATTAATGCATTTTTCTTAAACCTTTTTTTTTTTTGGTGATCATGGGCAAATAACTTCAGTTTGGATTCACTGTGAAATGATGGGAGTGGTAGCGATTTCTGTGTTACCAGTTTGAACTGACCAGCATTTAGAAATCTGGTTTAGGATGAAGCACAGACTATCTGTAACGACTGCGAAGAAGTAGCTAGTAACTATGAAAGATAAGTTTGAAAGATAATTAAAATAAGACTATAGCTACTCTGCCACAAACACCAACTGCTATCCTTTGAGAAGACTGAAAACATTTGATTTAGCAATAGCCTGTTTTGTGGTTGGTTTGGGCTTTTTTTTAATTTAAATTCATCTTATATATAAAAAAAAAAATCAGATCACCTTCTCTCTAGCCAAGTCCTATATCTATGGAATTTCAAATCTGCAATTTTGTTACAAGTAACTCCTGTTGTAAAGCAAACACTACCCAGGATGAGACAACAGCACTGAACACATGAATGCCGATCATTTCTTTACTTAAGTCAGTTTCTACCAACAAACGTTTTTTTAAGCAAATCACAAAATCTTATTCAGACCTCCTAAATTTTTTTTATAACACTCCAGTCCAGAGACTTCAATAGAGCTACTTATTTCCTACCAAGAGAGAAAAAACACATAGTTGAGCTGCTTTACAGTGTTAAATCAAGCACCAGGGGCCAATCCCCCACTCTTGCAGAAGACAGGGGTTCTTCCTGCAGAAACTACACATGATTTTCCAGCAGTCTTTGGTCCATGATGACAAAGCTAGATTCTTGGGCACACAGCCTGCAATATCCCTTTTTCTAAACTGGGGTGGAAAATTATTCAAATTTCCGTTCTGCGTTACTCTATGTTAAAAATGGCTTCCAAAGGAAAAGACTTCATTTCAGAACAACATCCTGTCTCAGCTAACAGAATGCTTCTAAGGCATTTAACACAAATATAGGAGTATAAACATCTCTTTCAAGCAGCCAAGTTGAGAAAGAATACCCTTGAACTAGGAAAGGTGTATGATCTCAGTAGCTAAATTGCTTAACACTCATTTTTCTTTCTTTTGTAGTTGGCTCCACAGCTCAGGAGGGTAAGTGTATTTTACCAGCATTCTTAATTATTGAGTATGATAAAAAGTCCAACTATGGTTCACAAGTGAGGGTTAAAAGTCAAATAGAACTATTCAAATTTTGTAAATATTGCAGGGTAGTAAAAATCCCCTACTACTTTATTGTTACTGATCACACTTGATTTGAAAAATTGGGTGTTGTGAATTGTCCCTAATTATTGCTAGAGATCCCCAGGCAAGGTTGGGCTTTTTCCAATAGCAACAAGTAGTGGGATTACAGGAGGCAGATTTCTTAACATTTACTATTCTCTCTTTTACAGGGGATCCTCCAGAACAGAAAGGTAAGTGTATTTTACCAGCATTCCTAACTATTTAGCATGATATAAAGACTAGAGATGTCTCACAGGTGAGGACTAAAAGGCAGATAGAAAGATTTGAATTCAAGCAGTAGTTTAGGAGGGGGTTTGTTAGTTGCTACTGTCATCACCCATCAGAAAAATCAGCTGTAATGAGTTGCCCCTAATCGTTAGTGGTCTCCAAGCAGGGTTGGCCATTTGCAGAGACCAGCAAGTATGTGGATAAACAAGGACAGATGGCAGGCGGCCAGGCTCTCTGCCATGAGGTAGATTACTTTGTGATGTATTTTGATACTGTTTAGTGTTGCAAAGAATTAGTGTAAAAAAGTAAAGGAAAGCACACGTGCAGAAGACCTAAACACAGGGAATTTACATTACACCATAAAATCACAAGTTTCGCAGTGCAAACTCTCATGGTGGGATCCAGGGAAGCCTGCCCAGAAGCTGTTTGTAACACTGGTTTCCCTTCCCCTTGGCCCACCTGCAGATAAAGAATTCCTGGTGGAGATTTCCGGAACCACGGTGACAATCACATGTCCCTTGACTGCAGACAACATAATCTGGAAGCCACCTGCGGCAGAAGCACAGGACGACAAGACGAAGTACGTTATAAAGAATCACGACAGCTCTCCTGTGAACCTGAGCTGTTCCTCAGATAAGGAGGAGTATAAATTGTACCTGAATGCCAGAGGTGAGTCAAAAAGCACTCGGTCTATGGGCTACAAATGCAGTCTATGCACATTAGGAGCTGAGACCTGATGTTGAGTGATGCTGGGCTGGGTGAATGCCATTCTGCTGAGGTCCTTCCCGCTCTGTGTGGGCAGTAAACAAGCCCAAGAACATGCTTTTGGCAAACAAGATCTCCCTGCTCTCTACGCCTTCCCCTTCTGCTGCCCTCAGACCAGGTGGCCGTCAATGGTTCCCGCATATAGACCGTACAGTCTTTTTTTTTTTATATACAGCTTCTGCCATGCTACAAGGCAAGAGTAATGTCTGTTGCAAAAGCCAGAGGCATTTCTTACCCTGCAGAGGGGAAACCTCCCCTTCTGCAGCACACAGCCTGGCTTCTGTGACGCCTCAGCCAGGGGGGTTTATGCTTGGAATCCAGCATAAACACAGGGTGGGCAATGATTTAGGAGATGTTTTGCAGCCTCCAGCTACCAGAGGGTAGCCAAGAGGGCTGCACACACCAGCCCCCGGTCCGTGTCTGTCTGCAGACCAAAATGGTGGGGCATATAGAACAGCCTGTGCTGTCCCCCTTCCTCCCTTTGCTCTTTTCTCCTTCCCACCCAGAACTGTCTCTTTTTTGCTGACACTAATGAGATGAGCGAGGCCGGGACTTTCCATGCTGGAAAGGAAGGGCGCCCGTCTCTGAGCATCTTCATCTCTCCTCCCGGCAGTGTGTGCAAACTGCGAGGAGCTGGATGCCTTGGCAGTGACAGGGATCATCGCTGCGGATATTCTCATCACCTTCGGGGTGCTGATTCTGGTCTATTACTTCAGCAAAGACAGGAAGGGGAAAGCGAGCGCTAGTGCTGGCAGTCGGCCTCGAGGTAAGAGCCATCTTGGGCACCTCTGCTCTCCACGATCCATAAAATGGAGCACTTGTGACAGGGAGTTCTCCATTCCCCAAAAGCCTCCAAGACCCTGCCAAACACCGCTCCTGCTTGCTGCCTTCTTGTGCGGGATGGGTGCGGCTGCCGTGTCACGTCAAAGGCTTCCTGCCCATAGGAAACCATTTCACAGGCATCACCATCGAGTCTGCTGAAGCAAACTCTCCATGGTGGATGCTCAGCTTGCAAGCGCAGCTGCAAAGCCAGCCTTGCCCTGACCTGCTCAGCTGCTGGCTCAGGCAATCAAAGACCAAGAATTAGGCTTGCACACAGAAGATAGGATTGGAAATTATGGTGTTACTAAAACCATACATTTTAATTTCTGGCTTCTGAGACCATGGTTTGGTGACCCAGCGGATCCAGCAGCGGGCCTCGTAAGTCATACATAGCAGGGTGAAAGTGATGCAGGGTGGTGACCTCACAGTACTGGTTCCGATTTGTTCCAGAAGCATTGACGATGACATTTGTACCTGGAGACTGCCTATCAGACAAGTACCACAGGTGCTCATCAGCCAGGCTTTGTGCAGATCAGGCATTGCTGCTTTTTCCCTGGGCTTCACAAAGCCCTTTCAGCAGGTCTAAATTCCATATTGTGTGCTCACTGTGCATGCTGTGTGCTGGGTTCACAGAACCACGGTGATATGCTCACACCTGTGTGGCTTGCCGAGACAGAGGAGCATAGATCTGGTTTCCACATTGTGGAACTGTGGCCTGGAGCTTCTTGTTTTCAAGTTTTCTTCACAGCCAGTCTAGATTCTGAAAGAAAGCAGATTTCCTTCTAAACGATCGTAAGGCCTCCTGCCTGCAGTACGTGGCTCTTTAAAAGCTCTAAGCTCATCATAAAGCATGCAAATTGACCCATGGTATGCATTACCCTGGGATGATCTCCATGAAGGTCCCCTGTGCCATCACCAAGGATGACCCACCTCTCTCTGCCCCTGTTGCAGGTCAGAAGGTTCAGCGTCCTCCCCCTGTTCCAAACCCAGACTATGAGGTATGGAGAACCTGCATTTTTTTCCATCTCTCATTGCTGGTTGGGGAGGGATAGCCAGAGCTGGGAATCCGTAGCATTTATACTTTCTGCTCCTTGGAAGAAGCATCCAGACAAACTCCAAGCTTTTGTGGGAGCAGAGGAAAAAGGTGGTGAGAGTGGACCCCTGCTCCCGGTCCCGACACAAGGAGCTGGGAGCAGAACTGCAGCTTCTTGTGTGTGCTACCAGAGTGGCACCACACCACTCTGTTGTGGTTTTCTCTGCCTACCGTGCAGACCAAGATTCTGCTGTTGTTTGGGGGTGTATTAATAAGGATTCCCAAACTAACATCTCTGCTGTTCCCACAGCCCATCCGCAAAGGCCAACGGGAAGTGTATGCAGGCCTGGAATCCAGGGGCTTCTGAAATTCCCCTGGGTGACAGGCTGGAGAGCAGCAGCAGAGGGGCTAAGTGCTTCTGCCCAGCTCGGTACCGGCTCTGCTGGAGCTCAGGCCTTTCAGGGTAAGCCAGGCGGCTACGCAGGACAGGCAGCCTGCTGCCATCCGCTCTCCCACCCTGATGTGCTCCTTCAGTTTGACATTAGGGAAAAGAAACAAATGAGCACGCATTGGCAAGAGAAGTTTTCCTTCTCATTAAAGGACTGCAGCCTCACTCGTGGTTCCTGGCCTCCTTTCCCCTCGCACTTCTCTCTCTGTTCCAGTTGTGTGCCCATTTAATTGCCTCCCATTTAATTTCTGCCCTGACCACCTCCACTTTCTCCCCGCGCCTCCCTGGGTAAGCTAGCAGGCAAACAGTGGGTCCTTCTCGGGGTGACTGCCCTCTGATCTTGTCCTGCTCTCGTGTTAATAGCCTACCTTCATTTTGCTGCCCAGCATTGTAATGAGAGGAACAGAGGCAGACAGCATATAAAAAGCAAATGGGTACTTTTTCATAGAAAAGACACTGCTTTGAATGAAAATATTTCAATGAAAAAGAACACTTTTTCTTTAAAAAAAAAAGAGAAGTGCTTCTACCATTGCATGCAGACTGACCTGTCCATCCCCCAGCCCTTCTTCTGTAGGAAACAAGTGGGGTTGGGTACCACCTTGCATCCACTGACCTTCAAGTTTCAGACCTTCAGCAGAACATCTTCGCAGGGCCACATGAGGATCTGGTGCCTTCCCAAGCCATCTGAAAGTCTCCTATTAGGAAATTGAAGTGCTTTGTTTAAATCTTTGTTGCTATTAAATAGCAGGGCTCCTAGATATTTCAGTTAAGATTTGAACCCCCACTTAGCAATAAGTGCAGTCTGACCAAGACAGCACAACAGGGATTTTCGTGTTTCCCGGAGTGGAACCGAGACCCTTTGGCTCAGCCCTGGGACTAGCACCCTGCTTAGAAACAGCTTCTTCACTGGAATTGAAATGGGTGCACTGGGGCCACAGAGACAACGACCAAGACCTACAAAATCCAAGAGAGCATCAAACCCTTTTGTCAGACTGTCCTCATTAAGGACATTGAGCCCCCATCCCTGGAGATATTCAAGGAGAGGCTCGACGAGGCCCTGGGCAACCTGGTCTAGTTGGGGGTGTCCCTGCTGACTGCGGGGGGGTCGGACTAGATGGCCTTTGGAGGTCCCTTCCAGCCTGGACCATTCTATGATTCTGTGATCCTCATCCCAGAGACTTCATGCAGTCCCTTTTTACTGATATTCTATACTGTAGTCTAGGATAAACACATTTCTTAGAGTGTGTTATACCTTAAAGGGTGTACATTTGCTGGCCGAGTGTCATTTTCTGGAACTATCATTCTCAGAGATTCTTGTGATTCGTCCTTTGCTGCTCCCCTTTCTCGCCCCATTTCAGCTCTGCAACTTGCGTTCTGCCTGGGTTCTGTTAGAGACATAGCGGGCTTCTTTCCTCTTGGTAAAGATCCATTTTAACTTTTTAATATACATTTAAAAACTGTAATATATTAATAAAATGGGGACAGCACCGCCGTGTATGCATTGGAAAGGATGTCCCCTGTGTTTTTGTCTCTGTTAAATAAAAAAGGTTTTGTTAAGGGGAGTTCCTGGGTCAAGAGCAGTCCGGGACACTGAGAACTTGGTGGGTCTGTGTTGACTCCCTTTGCAGCAGCCTACGAGGGGTTTGGGAGCAGAACATGCCAGGATGGGGGGGGAAAACCACACTCATAAAAATGCCCTGCCGTGCCTGGGAGAACAGGGCAGGGTGAGCAGGAGCTGGGCAGTGGGTGTGGGGGCAAGGGAAATAGCTGAGGTCCCACACACTCAACAGATGTTAAAGCTGCCTGATTTTAAAAGCTGCAATTTCCAAAGCAGCAGCAATGGGCCAGGCAGTAACTTAAGGAGAGGGGCCCAGGAGATGCTGTGATGCTTGGGAACGTTTCTGGTTGAACACTGAGTGAGACACATTTCTGTTGCTCAGCAGAGCAATAGCTCTGCAGAAAGGAAACGGCAGCAGTGATGGGGGCCGGGGGTGGTTTAACCCTTGAGTTTGAGCACAGGGAGATGAACACCCAACAAGTTTCACCCTTCACATTGCTGTACTTACCCTGCAGGATGTGGTTTTAGAGGCAGCACAGCTGGGTTTACCATACAAGGTGCTCAGCATCTAGGAGGGAGATCGCCAGATACAACGAGCACTAACCCCAAGCAGCTCTGAAACCACTCTGGGCCACATTCTCAGCTTCTGCAAAACATCACTGCTCCCGGGATGTTTGCTCAGCCCAGCTCTACAGCCCATTGCTGTGAATGGGATGTGAGAAGCTCAGAGCGCTCCAGGAGCCCAAAGCCTAAATTTTCCTCCAAGCTGCACCCTGGTGCTTCTGCCACCGTTTATGGAGCTGCATGTTTGGCTACTGTTTGCCCCAACGGTGCCATCCCACGCTCTCCTTATCTCAGTGGGATCAGCACCCACCCAGCAACAACAGCTCTCTGCCTCTGTGCTTACCTGCACCACAGAAATGTTTCTTCCTCCCAAAGATGATGCTGCTGAAGAGCCTCTCACAAGCAGGAGTTGTAAACGTTGCCCCTGCTGTACCTTTGATTCATGCAGAGCATACCCCCACCCACTCTGCTCTGGGTTTCTCCTGCTCTTTGCTCATTGCTTTAAGAACTCATGATGATAAAAGTGCAATGAACTAGGCAGTCTGCTGGTCACTACTTTTATAAGGTCCTACCCAGATGACTTTGCAGACCAAAGGTGGGTATTGGCATAGTCTACCTGCAATGGTCACATCAGGCTCAGCCTTCACTGGAGCAGGTTAGAGCAGAAAAACCACTAAGACACTATTTTGCTCCTGTGAAGAGCAAAATCTCATCATGAAAAGAGCCAACGCTCTTCATAGGAAATCAAATCCTTTTCTTGTTCACCATCCGCAAGGCTGATCACACACCAATTCCCATAAGGGCACAACGTGTGCACCCACAGCTCTTCACAGCCTGTTGTCATTTGCTATGTCAGACGTGTCACAGGTCAGTGACCAATTTTTATTGAGTTAAGTCTTCTGGTGCCGACTTCATACCAGAGTCACACGGCAATTCACAGCCTGGTGCTCTCTAAAGCCCGTCACCCAGATTCTCAGAGAAGCAGGAAAACACAACCTACAGGTGTGTGCAACTGGCACATGGAGGGTGACCCGGTTTCTGAGGTTTCTAACTGCTGATCCTGTCTGTTCTCTGCCTGCTGCTTGGGCCATAATCAGGCTCCGTTACCTGCTTCTGCTCAGAGCTGGGGAGTGGGGACCTTGCCGGGGGGAGCTGGGTTGGCGTGGGGAGACCCGGTGCTGCTCAGTGTCTGGAAGGGTGGTCGAGATGGGAAAGGCTCTGAAAGTTTGCTTCACTACATCCTGCACTCAGCACACTGGGATGGCTAATGAGCCTGAAAGGGGGGTTGCCGAATGTCCCACTGAAGATCCCTGGTCTGGTCACAAAGGTGGGCTGCAGAGGAGACAGAGGATGAGGGGTGGAGACTGCGATTAAATACCAAGCCCTACATGTGCAGAGGAAAAGTTCTCCTGCCAGGCCCCCAGCTCCATCCAGGGGACCGAGGCACACAGGCACTTTGCAGGGGTGACACAGACCCTGAGGAGTGTCACTGGTGTCCCCGCTCCCCATTCTGGAAGGGGAGTTAAACGAGACAAAGCCTCTGCTGCTATCCGGGGCAGCAACCGTCTCTCTTCACAAGGTCCACCATCCCCAGCTTCAGCAATGGACCCAGATGTCATTTAGATCCTGGCAGAGGGAGGTGGTGCAGCCAAGGCACATGCCAGCACTGGCAGAGCAGTGTCCTACCGGGACAGGCACAAGACTTGTGGCAGATCACATCCAATGTGTGTCTTCCCCAGGCCTCAACAAAACCAGTGGAGCAGGGAGGCTGTGGGATAGGCTCATCTTTAATGAGGGGGATACAGAAGCACAAGACGTCATGAGAAGAGCAGAGTGCTACAAGCAGCCCATCCCGGCAAGGAGCCGGAGGGCTCTCCAGGCAAAAACCTGCACTGCCTTTGGCCAGCACCGAGCTTACGGAGGCACTGGCCGTGGCGTTGCTGTAATATCACTCCCAGCATGAAGGAGCCACAGGCCCCAGCGTCTCTCCACTTCACTTGCGGGCCTTGGCAGGTGTCAGCCGGCTGTACTGTCCATCATCCCGCTCGCCAAGGGGCTAGGAGCAACAAAAAAGGCAAGATGAGCTACAACTGTGTCTGTCCAGCCCTGAGAGGGAGGGTACAAGGGAAGCCAGCCCAGCCCTCCCTTTGGCAAGCTTTTGGCAACTTTCCCTCCCCAGCACAGAGCAACGTCCAGCACAGCTCAGCGCCTTGTGGCATTCCCCAGTAGCTGTGCTGTCATGGCCACGCTGGCCCCACCACACAGCCACACACTACGCAGAGGTGCTGAAGCCCTTGCACATGTGCATGCACACCCACGCTCACCTGGTAGAGCTGCTCATTGGCTATCAGGTTCTGCCTGTCTGAAGCTAAAGAAAGAAAGAAGGAGGTCAAGGATGAGGGGAATCACAGGCAGCATGGTGAACATTTGCAAACAAACCCAAGCAGCCGGCTGCTTTCAGGCCTGTGCTTTTTCTTCCTCTGTGAGGCTCCGTGGAAAGGTCCTGCGAGGCCTCAGGTGTTCCTGTGCCACCAGCTGCCATCATCCAGTGATGACGTTTTGGTGAACCTCTAAAGTACGTTTGATGGCTTCTCCCGGGAAGCTCAGTTAGGGGCAGGAAGGGCACACTGGGTGCTTACAAGGATCCCTACTCTAAACCCACTGTATGCTGGCTGTTGCCTGCAGCTTGCACTAGTGGGAAGTCCTTAAGTACCACACGCGGTTCCTAAAGATGCCCAGGAGCTTCCCACCCCCACCCGCGGGCAGCCAGCAGGGCCCTCCCCTCACCTCGTGACATGCGTCCCTTGTCATGGCCCGTGATGCAATACACGGCAACCGCCAGGAAGATGGTGGCGATGACATCTGCGACCACGATCCCCGAGATGGTGGGAGCATCCACCTCAATGCAGTTCTGGCACACTGGAAGCCCAAAAGGACACAGATGCTGAAAGCAGGACCATGACCGGGACCCTGCCTCTTGGCCACCTCCTCCCTGCTGCCAGGGTCAGTCTGAGCCCAAAGCGCTCAGCCAGCTCTCCCAGTCCAGCCTGGCTCCAGTCCCAGGGAGAGAGGGGCCAAGGAATAAGTCTGGATGCTGTGTGACCCAGCGCGAGCTGCCACGTGTCCCCAGCACTCAAGGCAGGTCACAACAGAGCCAGAGAGTGGCTATCAATGAGGCAGTGCAAGTGCCAGATTATGACACTAAATGAAGCTGTAGAGCTCCCCTGGGGACAGCAGAATGTGCAACTTGGCTGTTCCCATGGGCAACCTCGCACAGGAGCTGCCAGGACTTCTGCAAACTAGTGGAACCACCCCCAAAGAAATCAGTAGTTCCCTCAAAAATTTCCTGGGTGAAATCTCCAGATAGTTCTGGCTCTAGAAAACAGGTTTGCAACACTTACTTCGATAGTGCACCTGGAGGGAGGACGTCTTTCCGTCTGTTTCACACATATAGGTGCCTCTGGGGTCATCATAAATTGTACCCAATTCCAGCTGCGTTGTGTTTCCTAGAGTGGTCCCATCTCTCTGCCAGGTAATTTGTTTTCCTGCTAAACACTGCAGGAACACCTTCCCACTGGCTTCTTTCACGATTATTTGCTGTCCTGAAAAATAAAGGAGGAGAGCAGAAAGCTTCACAACTGAGTCCTCAGCCCTCACCGTGGTGCGGAGCTCAGAGATATTGTTCACGGAGAAGGCTATTATAGACAGCATCACATTGGGCTGTCCCCTGAGCAGGGGAAAGGACACGGCGAACAAAAAAACTCTGCAAAAAGCAGACCACCCAGCAGTAAAGTAGCCCAGCGTTCAGCTGGTTGTTACATCGAAGCAGCTCTGGGTAGTTTAGAGATCCAAGTTCCCTTAGAGTGAAAACTAACTGGAATCTGGCATTGACCTGGACCCCACTCAGACTGTACATGCACGACCCCCATTCCACACACAGAGATCACATTGATATTGACGTGCAACTGCACTGAAACGCACTTGAACAGAAAGTTAAATGTTTCCACTAGCGGGGACAGGAGCTGAGCCCAAGTAGGGAGACAAAAACCCACTTGTTTTTTTACGCAATGGTAAAAAATGTTGTTAGTGAGAAGCATGCAAAAAATCTGCACAGAATTGATTCCTGACCCAAAGGCATCACCTTCAGAGTCTGCAAATAGAGAGTAAATTCCTTGTGTTATTTGCTGAGCACTGAAGCTGAGTACAGAGTCTCTCCTGCTCATGTATTTGTGCCGGGCACAAAGCCCATGGCCACTCTGGTCTGATACCATGGTACTGCCAAGCCCCACTTTACATGCTCTGTCATTGCAAGGCGGGTCTGAGCCTTCACAGCCAGCCAGGGAGCAGGGGACACGCTCCAAACTGTCACAGTGATGGTCCAGGGCAAGCAGAGCCGCCAGAGCGACCCCGTCCTCATGAACCGCTGCGCCAATTCACTCCCTTCTCCCCATCGACATTTACGAAACTCACATCAAGGTGCCGCGATGGACAACAACCCCAGCGAGCAGCGGGGACCTGCTCCCTGGCCACCCTCCCACCACCACAGAGACCCCCGGGGCACGAGCAACACCGCAGCAGCCCATGGCCAATGCCCAGGGACCTACCTCGGACGCCCCAGCTGGCCACGGCCAGGCTGGCCAGGAGTATCCAGGCACCCAGGGCTCTTCCCCGCCGCATGGTACAAAGCGGTGGCAGCTCTTTCTCCTGCTCAGGGGAGAGGACGCGGAGAGAGCTCCTCGCCACAGCACACCACGCACCCCGAGATCTCTGTCAGGTACCGGATGCCGGGGGCTGGAGCTCCCTCCCACAGCAGCCAGGGGATGTCTGAGGTGCCCTGCGCCTGCCTCCTCGCCCCAGCCACGGTGTCCACGGAGAGGCAGGGGAGGGCAGGTGGGGCTGAGGTGGCGGGTCCCCCGACAGCTGAAGACCCCCAGCAGTCCTATCTTCCCCTGCAACCACGGGTCCAGCCACAGACCCCCAGCAGATACGTGTCCACCAGCAGCCACAGAGCCACCCCCAGCAGCCATGGGTCCCCTTCCAACCATAGTCTTGCAGCAGCCATGGAGCCCCCCAAGAAGCCACAGAAGCCCCAAGCAGCAACAGGTCCCAGCACAGCCATGGAGCCTCTCAGCAGCTTTGGAGCCTTTCAGCAGCTTTGGGTCCTCCTACAGCTGTGGACCCCCCCCAGCAGCCACGTGTCCCCCAGCTCCCATGGAGCCCCCCCAGCAGCCATAGGTCCTTCCACAGCCATGGAACCCCCAAAAAACTACAGGTCCACTACAGCCACGGAGCCCCCCCAACAGGCACAGAACCCCCAAGCAGCTACAGGTCCCGCCACAGCCGCAGAGCCCCCCTCCCCCCAGCCGCCACGGGTCCCCTCGCAGCCAGGGGCGCCACGCGTGGCCCCGCAGCAGCGAGACCCGCCCCGAGCAGGTCTGTCCCAGCCCGGCCGCCGTAGCGGCGCCGCCGTCCCGTGATGCTGTGCGGCGGCGGGCGCCTGCCGGAGCGGCAGCGGGGCCATGGCGGCGCCGGCGGGCTCGCTGGTGGCGGCCGTGCTGGCCCACTCGGGCCGCCTCGACAAGGAGGACCTGGGCACCCGCATCGGGCGGCTCTCCTGCCGCGTGGAGGAGCTCAAGGCAGGGCCGGGAACGGGGGGGGGCGAGGGGGGCTTCGGGAAGAGCCGGGGGGCGCTGATCTGTGAGGTTTTCAGGCCGGGCGTGGGGCGGGAACCCTTCAGCCCGGCTGTGACCAGGGCGGCCCAGGCCGCGAGAAGGTCCCTGAGCGCCTCTTACCTGAGCGACGGTGTCCCCTCTGCCGCAGGGAGAAGTCTGCAACATGATTAACAAGAAGTACAACGAGTTCCTGCCCAGCATGCAGAGCGCCGAGGAGCTGGTGTCCCAGGTGGACGGGCTGTCCAGCAACATCGACCTGCTGAAAGCCGGCATTGAAAATGAGGTGACGGGGCTGTGCCAGATGACACTCAGTTCCATCCCAAACCTGTGTCGCGCCCCCCAAGTCGGTGTGTTGCAGGGGGCGGGGGAGGAGGACTCCTGACTGAGAGCCCTGGGTGATATCACCCCTAAAAAACGCCTTTAAGGTGACACATGCTGTGCCACATCAGGGGTGTAAAGAAAGGGCTGTCATTAAGGGCAGGGCCCTGTTTGCTCTCTGTTTGTGCAGTTGGAAAAGTGTGTCACAGCCTCTTCAGAAAGGAGAAATTGATTGGCCTCGTACGTTGCTGTGTGACAGCAGGGGACTGGCTAAGGGCTGCTCCCCCAGTTCCCGTGGGCAGCGGGCACCTCCATCATAGCCATGCGTGTTCACTGAAGTCTTTAAGGAGAACGTGAGCAGCTTCTGCAGGCTGGATTGCACACCCACGCTCTGCTTCAATTTCCCAGGATCTGGGGTTTGCAGCACTAATTAAAAATTAACTTTCAGCTCAGTTCAAACATTTTTGCATTTTAAATAGCTGCGTTAAAGGAACACTGAAGTCCTTTCAAGGACTTTCAAATTTCCTTACAGTGTCTTTAAAAAACCTGTAGCGTATTAGAAAAGAAACTGGTTTGTTTGTTCTAATAACAGCAATATTTAAGTCTACTATCATCACTATCAAGAGGAAACGCCTCTGATAATATTTGCTTGCTGTAAATTAATTGAAAAATTTGTTATTTTAGGTTCAGCGAGATCTAAATGTCGCTGTTGCTGAATTCACTGAACTGAAGCAGCAATTGGAGCGCGACACCCTGGTTCTGAGCGTTCTGAAAAAGCTACAGGAGGTGAGGAGTGGGGAGCAGCTTAAAATCGCAAGCGGTAGTCACCCTCTCTGTGGCATTATTCTGGGCTTCTCTTTGGAATGACTGTCTGTAGCTCCCCCATCTCTAGCCACATGGTTTAAAACATTGGAGTCTTGTATGCCAGTGTGTATCTGCTATTAATGTGTTTGATCGTTGCAGTTTGATACAGCTATTAAGGACTACAATACTGCACTGCTGGAAAAGAAGTACGTTGCAGCAGCTCAACAACTGGAAAAGGTAATAATAACTTCTTAAATATATGACAATATTGTTCATACATGCTTCCAGTAAATTTCACGAGATGCTTTTCATTAGCAAGGGCAACACTTACCCACCTTTTGTGTTTGATCTTCACCCCCAGGCACGAAGCAGCCTGAAGATGCTGGAATCCCGCAAGGGCTTTGAGCTGAAGATCCTGAAAGCGCTGGGCACGGAGCTCACGGTGCAGACACAGAACATGCTCTACCATCTAGGAGAGGAATGGCAGAAATTAGCTGTGTGGAAGCTTCCTTCTTCAAAAGGTACTCACAATTCTAGTTCGTTCCACTATTGGAAACGTCTGGCTTCAAGCACCTGCGAAATAGGCAATACAGGAATAGTGTTGGACTGAGGTTGGTTTAAGGACTCCTTCTGCGGTTCATACAACCTAATGAGTAGGAGGGAGTGGTGACTGGCCGTGTTCTTTGGGTATCACTCCGCTCCTAGAGCATTCAGGTGCTACCAAAAGCAAGCTGATGCAGTCAGTAGTTTTTAAACAGAGTTTTGAAGGTTTGTCTGCCTCGTCTGTGGTATTTCTTAGAAGAAGTTACAGAACAGAAGTTCAGAACAGCTAATGGCAAGAACTGCCCAAGGGTCTGTATGTTGCTGTCAGCATTGAAACACCACCTTTTCCTTTGAATTTGACTCGAAATGGGGAGAAGAGGGTAAGGGAAACGACTGTCACTAGGTATCATTCAATTGCAAGGCGACTGAATTGAGAATTCTCAGATCTGTTGTCTCTCAGAACAGACTGAGAGAGAGATGGTGGTTGTTCTTCCGCAGAAAGCAGCAGCCTGGAGTCAGCGATGCATTCGGAACTGCACTTGCACACAGTGCCATCAGAAGAGAAGATCTCTAGCCCACCAGTTGCCTCTGTGCTGCAGGCATTTGCTGTCCTGGGAGAACTGCACACCAAGCTTAAAATTTTTGGTAAGACAGACCGTGGATAAACATAGCTGGAGTCACCCGAGCGGATGAGTTCAAATCTGTTTTAAGATGGATACGAGGTCCAGTTCACTTCAGTAGTACAGGCTTGTGTTTCCCACTGAGCACAAGGCGAATACTCTGGTTCTTATTAATAGGAAATTATTTATGTGGAATTTTTTATCCATTCCTGTTAATTTACTCTAGTATACTGGTTTGATCTGCAGCTACGTGATTTCACAGTCTGATGTTTAAATAAGTTGTTTTTCACTTTATGCTGCTCTGTTAGGCCTCCATGTCTTTTACAGGAGTAAGTTGGTCTTTAGTGAAACCAAACCCAACATTTTACTTACTGGAGCAAACTTCCTGCCTCTTGCTGTTAGAAAACATCTGTTTTTCATTTCTCAGGCCAATTGTTGCTGAAATACATCCTCAAGCCACTGATTTCATACCCATCTCTTCAGCCATTCACAGAGGAACAGTCAAATGTGCTCATCCTACGTTTTAAGACCGAGGAGCCTAACTTGGATCATTCTTCTCCTATGGAGGTTTTTCACAAGATCCAGCTTGTTTTTGAAGCTCTTCACAAATATCTGCTGAGTAGGTATTTTCTCCCTTTTGGAATTAGACTGAGATAAGTACCTTGTTTGTGTAATTAGAGTGGAAGCTTTCTGGAATATCTGGTCATTAAGCAGTATTGAATTATGTGTAAAGTCTAAGCAGCTTTTACCTTAACTGACTATGCTGTGCTCTCCAACAGCTTGGCATCTTGTCAGACTGGACTTAGTGGTGGTCCAACATTCAGAGCTGGAGAAATGAAAGAGGAAATGTGTTGTTTGTTTGTTTTTTTTATGAACCAGCCACTGCATGTATGACCTTTGCAATGCAGGTGTATTAAAATGTATTTCTAAATTTCTACTCTCGCGAATCCAGATGTGCCTGTGGAGCAGCCTGCAGCAGATAAAAAGGAGCGCAGAGTTACGCTCGCAGAACTGCTCGGCGATATGATATGGGAGGAGTTATCGGACTGCCTCATTCAGAACTGTTTGGTGAATTCAATCCCAACAAACAGCAGCAAACTGGAGCAGTATATAGAGGTAGGTCTCAAAATCCAGACCCACATAGTGGAACTGCCAGATGGGCAGCTTTAACAAAAAGCTGTGTTTTGCAAATACATAATTGTGCATTTCTCTCAGTTAAGCTATGGCTTGGTTTTCCTGTCACATAAAGTGTGCAAGGTCTCTGATCCATGAAACTGGGGCCGTATTTAGCAAGGACCTGGAGACTTTCAGGGCGTGCGATGTCAGGCGCTCTGTGGGAGGCTGAAGATGGTGATGTGGCAGTGCTGCTTGCCCAGCTGGCTTCCTAAGGACTGACTGCTCGGTCTGTATTTGTTGTTAATGGTCACAGGGGTTTCTTGCACAGACCACAGGTTTTTTTTAAAACTTCATACATAAACCAGAACTTGCTGCTAGTGAAGAGTGCCAAAAAAAATTCTTTTTCCTGGAGAGTGGGCTGTTTCAAACAGTTGTAGGATAAACCTTCTGGTCCCTTTGCCCCGGGTAGCCCAGCATAATGAAATTTGATCACCTTGCTCCTCTGGTTATTTAATTAGGCAGCCAGCACAGTCAGGGGGACAGACCTGCAGTTCAAACACTGTGGTGTTGTATAATTGTGGCCCCCAGCTGAGCCAGCTTTTTCCGAAAGGTTGCTGAAAAGCTGTTGGATGGTTAGTGCCCTCTAAAGCCCAGGTTCAGCCTTTGCTTTCAGCTGAGTTTATACCCACCTTCCACTTTGTTCTTTGATTCTAGGAAACTACATTAATGTAGAATGTGTGTTTGCTCTTCTCAGGTGATTAAATCCACAGAGGAATTTGAAAAAGCCTTGAAAAACATGCAGTTTTTGAAAGGAGACACAACTGATTTACTGGAATATGCCCGTAATGTCAACTCCCACTTTGCTAACAAGAAGTGCCAGGATGTGATCGTAGCAGCCAGAAACCTGATGACCTCAGAAATACACAATACTGTAAAGGTGACTGTTGATGCAATACACTGTTTTTTTGTGTGAAAAATAGCTGTTGAAGACAGCTTGTCTAGGACAGTCGTGTCCATTTTTTTGTGGAACACTGATCATTTAGGAATCTTGGCAAACAACAGTTTCAAAGCCTTTTCCCATAGAGCTCAAGTAGGTTATTTTACTAACAAGATGTTTCTTAAAAATACTTGGAGGTTTGCTGCTTTTATAAGCTTTTCTGGCTAGTATCATAACATAAGAAAAAATTAGAGCATTACTTACAGAGTTGCTTCTATGTATCCAACACTATTGACATTGTTTCGTGGTCTGTGTTGTTCATAACCCAGGAGACTTCCAGCAGCCTTAGGGGACTTCTGCAGCCTTGCGCTTATCTTGAGTCTTAAATCTTTGTCATTCAATGTTTTTTGTGCAATGTCCTTTCTCTGGGCTCTAAATTGAATTTTATCTCTCTTGTTTTCCCTTAGATCACACCTGATTCTTCTGTAGCCCTGCCAAGGCTTCCTGGTCCTGCAGCAGGAGATCTCTTAAAAATGGACAAAACTTCTAAACCTCTGCATAACGACACGGTGAATTTGGAGCATGAGACCAAACTGAGCCAGTACACCTTTTCCCTGCCCACGTGCCGCATCAGCTCATCGGTGGAGAAACTGATGGAGCTGGCTTATCAGACGCTGTTGGAGGCCACAGCCAGCACAGATCAGTGGTAGGAATTATATATTATATATATGTATATCAGCAGATAACTCTTAGGTGTCAGGTACTTATTGCCTTTGGCAACACCAAGCATCTGTTAATACATTAAAAGAACAGAAGACACTTGAAAATTAGAATCAGCCGTTAGAGTTAGTGTTTTGGCTGGAGGATGTTTCCCCAGGATCAGCTGCAGACTGTGTTCCCTGCAATGCTCGGGTTAAGCAGACTTTTGGACTCAGTGTTCAGGGAACGTTGAAGTACACTTTGTTGTAGTGTAGCTATTAAAGCAGTGAAAACGCGGTAAGCTCCCCAGTGTGCACAACATAGTTCACAGCTTCAGTCTTTTAGTTGGGAGAAACGCTACCGTGGTGTTCACTTCAGTGTTTTATCATATGTTAGCTGTCAGTTTAGAAAAATCACAGCCATCTGGTTTTTTTTCAAACCAAATGATAAGTGACAGCACCACTTCTGAGGCGAATTCTTGCTTTCTTTGTGCTGGGTGAGAGTAAAGAACTCTAGTTCTGCACCTGGCAAGGCTCTTCAGAGAAAACAAACATTTTGAGGAACCACCTACAGTCTGCTGTAAAAACTGGCAACCGCAGCCCTGAAGGAGAGTTGCCCGGGTACTGAATGCCCTTCAGTGTCCCATGGCAGAGAGAGGGCTGGCTATTTACACACACCTGGTGGGGGAAGGAACATTGTCTCCTTTGTTCCCGGGGTTTCACGTATCTCCCTTCTGACAGGTGGTCCCAAGCTTGTCTTTTCCACACGGAACTGACAAGGTCATCACAGCTTTTGTGAGAAGCTTTTGTGAATTTTCCAGAATGTCGCCTTTGTTGATATCACTGTAATTGATCCTGACAGTCTACTCTTTGTGCCAGTACTTCACTACTAATAAAATCTTGTTTGAGAGAAGGGTGAGTGTCACTTGTGACCGAGGCATTAATTCCACTGACAAACTAACACGAACCTTGTTTTCCTTGTAGCTGTATACAGCTCTTCTACTCTGTGCGGAACATATTCCAGCTGTTCTACGATGTAGTGCCAACATACCACAAGTAAGTGTGTGTATTACCTAGGGCCTGCTTTGGAGGGAGAACAATGCCATTGGAACAGCCCCACTTCTCCCCAGTTTGTCCATCACAGACAGAGATTACTAACGGCTTCCTCCAGTGGCAGAAACCTCATATTCTTAATCTAATGTTAAAACGTACCTGCTGCAGAATAGGTGCTGGAGAGTTTCTGAGTTGGCAGTTGCAGTTCTTTAACGGTTGTGTTTGAATCCAGCCACATAACTTTGACTCCTGGAGCGAAGCAGAGATTTTTCATGGTTTTCCTGTAAAAAAAGAGCGGCAGCGAGGATTGAAAGTTTACAATTTTGTCAGAGAACACTGGGGTATTACTGAAAAGAACTTCTCTTTTCCTCACCATCGTGCTACAACAAAGCATCTTCCTGTTTGAAAGCCCATTGCTAGAAACAATGGGGATATAGCTCATGGTTCAAACCCCAAAGTGTCATTTCATTAGCCATGAAACTCCTTTCCTCTAAGTTCTCGTGAGCGTTAGATGCTTTTATTCTAATATCTTTATGGGGCATTGCCTACAGTTAGTTACTTGCAACATCTGAGACGGACCGTGAGTTTCTCTAGGGCAGGTGTGACAATTTTTTTTTTTAACAGAGCCAGGTCCAAATAAATACACTTTCTCCTCTTCCCTTCCTCCTCCCTGGGACAGAGAGAACCTGCAGAAGTTACCCCAGCTGGCAGCCATTCACCACAACAACTGCATGTATATCGCTCACCACTTGCTCACCCTGGGACACCAGTTCCGGTACCGCCTGACCAACATCCTGTGTGACGGGGCAGCTACTTTTGTAGATCTGGTGCCTGGTTTTAGGAGACTTGGTAATTTTACCTTGAGCACTGAAACACATTGAGGGATGACGTGGTCATTAATCCTGGTATTTGTTGCCCAGTAATTTATTGTGTGGCTACTGGCTGGAGCAGTGGACTGTTAAGAGTTCTGGACAAGTAGCAAGGATGTTTTCTGATGGAGCTTTATGACTCTAAGCATAGAGCTATTTAGGGCTTCACTCTTTGAAGCCCCATCTTCTTGTCCAGCACATAGTTCCAAGAACAGTTCATTATCCAGCGAGATCTCGTGGCACTCAGATTTTGGGATCTGCTCCTCAGTCCTTTGGTGTTTTCTTTACCTTATCCAATGGACACAAATTCCGAGATAAGTTTGTAAGAGGAGCCTGTCATCCATAGCTCATTTTGCTACTTGGCTCTCTTTCAAAAGCATTGCAGCAATGCAGCTGCACAAGAGCTTACCAAAGATGTGACTGGGCCTGGTTCAAGTGGCTCTAGGGAGACTGTTTAGAGCCTGGAAATTCCTTTAGAAATAAAACATTGTAGCAAGTTTGCTATTCAGCACGCACAGTCTTCAAATTGGCAGAGCAAATTTAATAATTGCTTAATTGCTTCTCTCTGCTTGTTTTTGCTAATAAAGGCATGGAGTGTTTCCTGGCCCAGATGCGAGTGCAGAAAGGAGAAATCCTGGAGAGGCTGTCAAGTGCCAGGAATTTTTCCAATATGGATGATGAGGAAAATTACTGCGCAGCAAACAAAGCAATAAGGCAGGTAAGGCAGTCAGAGCCCAATATCCCGTTGTCTGGAGATGTTGTCCTTGGGAAGGAACAGTGTGTGATCTCAGTCCTGAGGACTGTGCAGTGTTTCAGCAGAGCGGAACTTTTCAAAACAACAATTTTCTGGCATGATTTCCCCACCCCAGGCTGTGTCTTTTTGTAAAATGAAAGCATACCAAGTTTGGTGCCTCTTGCTCCAAGCTGAAACGAAAAGCTTCTTAATATTGAACTTTTGTTTATAGTACATTTATAACGGTTTTAACTTTTCAAGGACGAGATCTGTCACGCTTTTAGTGAGCCTGAATGCAAACTGAAAACGATGCATCATTTCCCAGGAACACCTGCTCTGTGTGACAGCAGGATACTTCACTGCCTTCTGCTTCTTTCCAACTGGTTTCTGACCATACATGTTACCTTATGTGGTGCCTCTCAGTGTTCTTTGTGATAACACGTAGGTAACGCACAGCTCTTCTCTTCCAGGTACTGCATCAGTTGAAGAGGCTGGGAAAAGTCTGGCAGGATGTCCTCCCAGTGACTGTCTACTGCAAGGCCATGGGGACTCTACTCAACACGGCACTCTCGGAGATTGTCACCAGGATTGTTGCCCTGGAGGTAACTGCATGAGATGGCCCTGCCAGGCACTGGGGGGTGTGATCAGCCTTTGTGAAAGTTCTTTCCAAGATCACGTTTCAGTGGAACAGTTATCTGTCATAGAAATTATCATTGCGGTCCTCTCTCTGAGAAATGTTCAAGGTATCAGTAACTCACGTCCAGTTGAGACTGAGAACTTGCTGAATTAGCTATTCATTTAATAGGTTATATTTGCTTGAGAACGTTAAATGCGTTCTAAGCCACTGCTTTCATCTTCATACAGAAAGCCACCTTTTTTCATTCCACTTCCAGCTTGGCACTCCAAAAACATATCTGACTGCTCCTCTGGTAACGTTTGTTCAATCCTAGGATATCTCTGCAGAAGACGCAGACAGGTTGTACTCCCTCTGTAGGACCATGGTGGAGGAAGGACCCCAGGTTTTCACCCCACTACCAGAAGATGACAAAAATAAGAAATACCAAGAGGAAGTCCCAGTCTACGTGCAGAAGTGGATGACATTCAAAGAGCTGATGATCATCTTGCAAGCCAACCTCCAAGAAATAGTAGATCAGTAGGTGTCTTCCTTTCTTCCTTTCCAGTTATCTCTTCCCCCTGGGAACAGGAAGCATCTGACATCAGCAGGACCCTGCACTCAGGGGACTCTGTTCAGACAGAAGGCAATCACTGTTAACAAGGGTCAGGTAATTGCTCCTGGGGCTGTTTCTTGGCTGTGTGTTTATAGTCCATTCCAAACTTCCTCATACGTTCAGCTGCCTCCTGCGAGGGAAAAGACAACAGTAAAAAACCCAAGTGCCAGAGGAGAGCCAGCCACAGAGCGACTGTGCGTCCCTGTTGGCTTCTCTAAATTCACCAGTGTCTCACAGGAGGCAGCCTGGCACTCTGCCTACTCCTGGTGTGAGCTGTGCCCTGCTGCTGCAGTTGTTCCACATGATTAGCCCCTGCTTTTTAGATGCTGCTTCTTACTTCTTTTAACTTGCAAGGGGGATTCATCTGAATTACACACGAGGATTTGCATAGTTCCTTCTGTTGCTTTACTTGGCAGGAGTTGTCAGAAGCTAGACATTCCCTGTTCACAGCTGCCTCACACATATGTCTGCGTAGCAAGAAAGCAGACTGTCCTCAGCAGGCAGGCTGAAAAGGTGCCAGCCACAGAGAAAGCACGTAGGGAGGGCAGTTCCTCTTCTGTGCCCTGCTCAATGCTGCTTTTGGAACCCTGTTACGCACCAAAGGTTCCCAACTCCACTTCCACCTAGGCATAAACTATGGGGGTTTTTTTTCCCCCCCTGTTGTTTGGGAGGTGAATAGGAATTTTGCAGACAGGGTTAAGGCTTGTTTTGGAGAAGGAAAAGGCACAGTTTGTAACGGGTGCAAGTCACCTCACAACTTGTTGCTTTATATCCCTAGCGAAACAATGCTGGACTCGAGGTGCATGCAGCTAACAAGCTGTTAATGGGATTTGTTTTGCCTCCAGACTTACTGCTGTACCGAGTGCTCTGGAGGCTGCTTTTAAGGGGATCTTTCTCTTCCTAGGTGGGCAGACGGGAAGGGGCCTCTCGCAGCTGAGTTCTCCGCTGCTGAAGTGAAGAGTCTCATCCGCGCCTTGTTCCAGAACACGGAAAGAAGAGCAGCAGCACTGGCCAAGATCAAATAACTCTGTGGTTACTCCTACATCTTGCGTCTTCTGATAAAGCAAGAGCAATCTGAGTCTTTCAAATATTTTTTTGATTTGACCCTTCTTGTTTGTACCGGTATAAAAAAAGCTTAGCATTAGGTAAGTGCTTCCTGGAGGCTTGACTGAGCGGGGAGGAACATTTCCTATAGCTCAGCATTTGTAGGGCAAATACAGTGGCTCTGTGAGCCCGGGACCAGGAAATCAAAGGTGGGGAACACAGGAACACTAACTGCTTCTGCCAGGCAGATGGAGTTTGGGCCTGAAAATTCAATCTCCTGCCCCACTCCTCAGAGGTCTGGCCAGATCCAAAGTTTCTTTTATGCAGTGGTGGGTATAGAGTCCTGGTGAAGAAGAGGTGCTTTTTGTGATGTTTGCTAATTTCTATTCTTTAGGATTTCACCTTCCTGTTAAACCCAGCATAGACAAATAAATCAAATCATGTATCCAGCATCTCTCTGTGAAAACAGACACAGTTGTCAGATGGGCCTTTCAGGCAAGGCTCCGTATACTGTCATCTCAAGCTTGCTCTCTTAAGGGCCTTATAGAAGGATTTTTATTTCTCAGTAGTTAATCTTATCTATGCAGTTTTACATCAGGGGGCATTTAGCCCTTTTGTGTCTTACCTCTTCTGTTCCTGCAAATTACATAGGAAACCCAGACTTTGGTAGCTTTTGATATCCTCTGAAGAATGCTGAAGTGCCAAACTCTGCTCTTTCCAATCTCAGGTTTCTCTGAAGAGCAGACCTCAGGAGGGTGAAAATGTAGTGGGGGGAGGAGGGAAGAGGGGACCCTGTTCTGAGCAAAGTGTTTATCAAGACACAGGGGTTTGCACACATGGCAAAATTCCTCACCACTTTATTCCTCACGGAGAATATCTTAAAACTGACATAGAATTTTTCAATGTCACTTTGCCAAGTGTAGAAACCAGTTCAGCTGCTTCCTTTACCTTTTTGTTGTGTGTGAATTAGGTCTGGCATCTGTTGTCTTTCTGGTAGTAAATTTTCTGTCCTTTAAGAATAATCAAAGAATCATTTAGGTCAGAAAAGACCTTTAAGATTACAGGGTCAAATTGTGAACCCAACACATCCAAGTCCACTACTAAACCACATCCTTCAGCACCAGATCTACACGTCTTTTAAATACCTCCAGGGATGGCAACTCAGCCCCTTCCCTGGGCAGCCTCTGCCAGTGCTTCACAAGCCCTTCAGTGAAGATGTTTTTCCTGACGTCCAGTCTAAACTTCCCAGGCACAACTTGAGGCCATTTGAGAGAAATGTAAATTAATATAAAAAGGGAATGAAGTGTGCGCTTGTAGCATTATTTAGGTTACAAAAGGCTATGGTTAAGACTTGGAGAAATGTACATTTCTTTTAATGGAAGAACTCACCAAGAACATTCATTAGAACAGCCCAGAGGCCAAGACGTGCCAGTTGCCGCACAGGTGGAACAAAGTATTTCCTACCACACAGAGCTTACAAGGTGCTTACAACTGTTCAGTCACAGAGCTTAACGTTTCAGCCTGTTGTCTCCTGTTGTATCGTTTTCACTTGCACTTTTGTCTGACTTCTCACTCCCAAGGGCTGGTGCAGGGCCCGAGCCACCTTTCACAGCACACCTAAGTGGCCATTCTGCCCGCGGGTCAGCCCAGCGCACCCATGGCCCGTGGCGAGGGGACTCTTCTCTTTCTGGCTCTGACTGGCACAGGGAGGGGGGAAATGCAGTCAAATCGGCAGTTAAACCGAGTCCAGCACGTGAAAATCAATGAGGAAGGGTGATACTGAAGTAAAATCTGACTGCCACTTAGAACTCCAGCTTTTTCTTTTCTTCCCCTCCCAAGTGATGTCTCTGAAGGCTGGGAGTGGTCCCGTAACACTCGCATCCCATGGGATCCCCTGCCCCTTTACACACAGCAATCAAAACCACACGTCTTTTGAAAAACAGCACTTCTCCCGTTGCGGATTGTTCACAGAAATGTAATTTGCTATTTTCTTTAATAAACTATTTATACTGAGCACATTTCCTAGTGTTGTCTGGGGATTCTGTGAGGGTTCTAGTGACACGGTAGGAATTAGTCCTGGACCGTTCTCCACTTACTATGCAGAAAGGGAAAGTGTTGCTCCCGGGCCTTAGTTCTAGTAGATCTAGTTTAAGAGGAAAAAAAAAAAAAAAGAAAGCAAAAATGGGAATCGGTACCATAAAAGAGGTTCATGTGTCAAGGGTGAGCGTAGAATAGTGATGAGAAGAGTTAAATAGGATGCGAGCATTGGGATTTGCCTGTGCCACGTGCACGGCTGTGGGTCAGGCTGAATACACAGCTGTGTGTGCCCCAGCTTACCTCCGTGACACGGTAAATCCAGGGCAGCAGCTGAGCCACGTTGGTATAAACCCCGGGGTGGTTGGGCTCAGCACAGCCCCGGCCCCAGCTCACGATGCCCACTAAGCGCCAGGCGAATCTGTCCTGGCAGACCAGGGGGCCCCCACTGTCGCCCTGCGAGACAGAGCGAGGGCCCATGAGGCAGCCGGGATGCAGGTCAGGCTGCCTTCTCCCACATGGGCCGTAGGAGTGGCCGAAACAAGTACCGTGCACCTCCCTGTGCACCTCCCTGCGAGCTTTCCGTGTTCCTTCTATAAACACAGATACGTCTCAGCCCAACACCGAGACCCCAGGGCACCGCGGTCTGAGAGGCAGCGGGTCCAGCACCACCCCTTGCAGGCTGTTTATTACAAGCTGTTGCCACAAACCCCAGCATTTGCTGGAGCATAACGGGGACGTACAACACTTCAGCCCTTTCCACACCCGTCGCCCCCGGTACCTGGCACGCGTCTATTTTCCCAGGCAGGTAGCCAGCGCACAGCATCCTGGCAGTGAGCTCACCCCCGTACACACACGAGCTGTTGCACCTCTTGGTGCCGATCAGAGGAACGGGAGCTTCGTTCAGCGTCTCGGCAACCTGCCCTGGGGAGGGAGAAAGAAGCCGAGGGGGGAAACAAGATCCTCAGGGAGTGAGAGGGGACGAGCAGGGCAGCTGGAGACTTCGGGAGATGGGAAAGTCGGGATTACTTTATGGGATTACATATGGCCAGGCCCACAGGAGCTGCGGATGTGGGGTGCAGAGCTGCTGGAGCAGGGGTGGGATGAAGGCAGAAGGGGGCATTTGCAAGATGATGGGTGGCATGGAAGGGGCTGGATGGGCAAGCGGGGAGCAAGGGGAAAGGCTCCGGGCAGCCTGAGCAGCAGGGACTGGACGGGAGCTTACCTTGGTCTGGTCTGGTATAGCCCCAGCCAGACACCCAGCACTGGGTGCCCTGGAAGAGGTCCTGGTGGGGGGGTGGCAGACACACGGCACGGATGGCATCTGGTAAGAAGGTGACGGGGTAAGTACCAAGGCAGCAGGGACAGCTTCATGCTGGGCAGGAGCAGGCAGGGACGGGCTGCGGGGCTGTCAGCCTGCAGAGCCCCTCAGCCAGGCGCGATGAAGAGGAAGGCTCTGGGGCCAGCTGCTCCGGAGACTTCAGCTGCCACAGCCACCTTCCCAGTAATTCACAGCTCCGGCGGTGCTCAAAACCCAGCACGCTGCTGTGCACGCTGCCTCCCAGGTGCCAGCTGGACAGCCTTAAAGAGCTGCTCTGGAACAGCAGGCTCAGAAGAAGCTGGGGGTTTGGCCATCTCTTAGTTGTGGGCTCAGGCAGACAACTCCACAGACAAGGAGGAGGACACAACAGCAGCTTACCGGAGAAATTCAGGGGGACTTGGAGCTTCATCACAGCAATGTCGTAGTCTAGGCTGCTGTCATTATAAAGCGGGTGGTAAATTATTTTCTTTACTGATACCCCGGCCTCCTGCTTCATTGATCCATGGGTGGTAACACCGGCAAAAACCAGCCAGGCAGAGGCTTGGAGCCGCCTGTAACTGAGCAGAAATACAGCCTGCCTCTAACTGTAGGGCAACGAGGTCTGGGATAAGAGGAGCTACACAGCGGCTCGGGACACGAGAGAGCCCAGAGGTACCTGTGCACACAGTGAGCCGCTGTGACGATCCATTCCCGTGCCAGCACGGAGCCTCCGCAGTGGTGCTGGGAGCCGTGGTACAGGCTGACCTGCCAGGGCCAGCGCCCCGGGGACACCTCCGTCCCCCCGACCACCCGCACAGCCCTGGGGAGGAGCCCACACTCTGCGAGGCAGCAGGGAACAGGCGTTCGGCACAGCTCCGGCTGCCGGAGCCTCACGCTGGAGAAGGCCAGCGTGGGAGCAAAGGAACCAGCTAGATCCCAGAAGAGATCTTGAGGATGTAAGGGAGGAGAAGAGCACCCACCTGAGCATTTCAGAGCCACAATGCGACCCGATTCACAGCTGCTCCTGTGCGGGAATAAGCCTCTTGTCAGAAAACACATGAACCAAAATCCCTGGTGGGGGGGGGCACTATGGAGCTGCAGCAGTCCCCAATGGGGGTGCTTCACAGCACAAAACCAGGACAGATTTCTATGTCCTTAAGCCTGCAAAAGAAGGCTTCTTTTTTTTGCAGCCCCACCAACAAATTCTGCTTCCCCCAGACCAGCCCTTACCTGACCTGCCACAGGTCTTCCAGGCTGCCTTCCTGGTAGGGTCTCACCTGAATGAACTCCTGTGTGTCATTTACCTTGACGTCCCTCAGGTTCACTCCTTTGTGATGGGTCATTCTGCAGAAGCAACAGTAAGTGTCCCAGGAACGGGCTGGGGGCCTGCCAGGGGATCAGGCACATTTAATCCTGCCATGAGAACAATGGTCCACAGTTCTGCCACTCTGGCAGCTGGGAATGAACTTCCTTGGCAGGAAAGATCTTCTGCAGCTCTTCTCGCAGGTCCCTGTGAGCACTTTCCATGTTCCCCGAGACCCACTTTCCACCCTGCACTCACCAAGGGGCTGCCCTGACAACCTCCCAGCCTTCAGCACCTGCTTTTCCCAAGACCATCCCCCTTGGAAAAGGGGGGAGCAGGGGTCCAGGCAGCCACGTCTGTCGTGCCCACCTGAGATACCCGAGCTGCCGGCAGAGCAGGGTGCCCAGGGAGAGGCTCCAGTGCTCATGGCATGCCAGGAGCCAGCCGGGATGGCCTTCCACCTGCGCTTCCAGCAAGGAGTTTGCCACATTGATTCTGAAAGACACTAAAACCATTCCATTAAAGACAACCAGCAAAGTTCCCTTCAGTGTTCTGTGCAGGGCCAGCACATCTGAAGGAAAAAAAAACCACAAACACCCAAACCCCAGAAAAAGCCATTTGAAGTAATTAGAAACTATGCATTAACCTGTTCACATATTCTCAGTGCCTGGGTGGCAACTCTGCCGGATGATTACACACAAAGGAGTCCTGCAAGAGTTGCCTTTGCTGTGGGATCACTCCATGCAACCGAGCTGTAACGCTGGGGAGTGCAGCAGGGCTTCTAAGCAAAGTGAAACCATTGCAAAATACAACTGAAAGCAGTTGGTAGATGAGAGATTCATTATTAAAGACCATCTTTTCTGCTCTTGCTGGGCTTGGCAGGCACTGTTCTGCATACTGCTCCCCTCTCCCCACCCTATGTGGCAGCAAACAAAGATGTAAACCTCTACTGGGAGCTCCACGGACCACAGGGTCTTCCTCTTCACCATCACTGCACGTTGGGATCGCTTCCGGCTGCTGCAGCAGAATGAATTCCTCATCTAGCTGAGGCTTCTTCAGGTGTTTCACTTCAGGAAACAGAGAAGGGGATGGAGGTGGACTCACATGGTCTGGGCAGCATCCGAGGATGCACAATATTGGGAACAATCCTGCACTGCCCACTGGAAGAGGTGATGAGCCTCTCAATGGGCACAGCTGCAGTTCACTGCTGGGACCGCAGCAACCAGCAGCAGATCCCTGCTGGTCCAGCCGCATCCTCCCCATCCCAAGCCACAACTCACTGACCAAGGAGCTCCCATCACCACTGCCTCTGCTGCTGGCACCCCAAACTTGCTCGCCACAGTAGCAGGGCTGTCCGGAGCAGACACTGACCTAGGAACCATGCCCCCACAGCTGTCCCTGCCAGCAGCCCAGCGAACCCAAGCAGAAGGAACAGCCTCCTGATGGTGCAGGGAGTTTTGAGAGATGCTTTAACAGGATCTTTAAGAAACAGAGATGGAAACAGGATTAACATGGCCTTGCTGGTCTCTCATAGCACTACTAAGCCCCTGGTGAAGCCCCTGTGGTGTTATACACCTCACCTGACCTTTCCCTGCAATGCCAGGAGGAGGTGAGATAAGGCCATGAATTCTGCAGGTCAAGACTCAGAGGCCCTCCCCCCGTTATTCCCAAAGCCCAGAAACAGCTCACCGTGTTCCAGGGATGCCTGTATCCTCTTCGCTTCCCTCTTCAGCTCTGCTGTGGGGCTCCTGCAGCTTTGCACAGCATCCTCGGCACAAGGAGGGTTGTCAGGAAACTGCTCAGCTAAGGCTGGGCTCTAGGGAAAGGAGCGGAGTCCCATGGAGCAGATCAGCAACAAAGGCAGGGTCTGACAGAAGGGGACAAGCTTCAAGCGGTGACACTGCTGCCCAGGCTGGCTGGTGCAGCAGAGGACAAGGGGAGGAGGCATTTCTCACCATGATGGCCAGGAGCTGCTCACTCGGGCTGCTGCTGAGCACACGGGTTTCCCTGGAACCAGCTCAGGTTTCCCTCTGCACGCTCCTGTGCACGCCCACCGCGCCGCCGCCACGCTGAAGGGACCCCTTCCTTCAGACACCCCCCTCTGCCACTGCCAGGACCCTCGGGGAGCCCCCAGGGAAACGCTCCCATCCCTCCCTGGTGCCAGATGAGCAGCTGGTGAGCTGCCTCGGGTCTCAAACCCATCTTCCACCTGCCGCCCCCCCAGCTCCTAGTATTCTGCTTAACTGCCATATGAGAAACGCTGAGGAGCAGCAGCGGCCCCCAGGCTGCAGGTGCCAGCAGGAGCCCTGCCCAGGCTGTAGGGCACCAACAGACCCCAGCACAGGCAGCAGGAAAGATGCCGACCAACCCCTCTGTGTTAGTTATTACCCTCAGGGAGACAAGACCTTGGGGAACAAAATGTCCTAAGCTGGGAAGAGATGAGAACGGGCAGCCTGCAGCTGCTTTTTGTCACCCTTGCATCTCAAGCCAAGTCCCTGCCAGCTGTGAGGTGTGAAGGATGACTTTCCTGCCTGCAGCTGCATTAGGGGTGTGCTGGCGAGGGCTGGTGGGACCCGATCGCTCAGCGAGGCCCTCCCCACCCCGTGTGCACAGAGACCTCCAGGGAAAGAGCCCCCGCCTCTGGGTGTGCTGGATTTTACCTGCAGGCTTTTGGCCGTAGCACACAAAGAGCTGTAAAGGTCAAATAGCAGCTTTCAGCTCAGCTTCTGATTTTCCACATAATTTCTTATTGCTGAAAGATGCCTGGCTGGCGCCCTGCGGGAAGGGGAAACTTTCTACCTGTGGCTGGGGTCATGCTGAGGCATGAGACATTTTTCTTACCAGCACAGAGCTCTTGCAGCAGAGGAGGATCAGAAATCACTTGTGCTGCTGCATCCACTCTTTTTCCTCGGACCCAGCAGATGATCCATTGCAGTCATCACGCCCAAGGCCAATGAGTGCTGCTTGTCCCCAGCTGGCACACTGCTCCAGGCAGGGAAGGCACCAGGATCACCTTCATCCCTTGCCCAGGAAAGCAGGGAAGAAAGCAGCAGCTGCTGGCGCAGGGCAGGGGAAGACACAACTCACCTTGTGCACAAACCTGCCTCTTGCCCGCCTGGCACCAGAGACCATCCTGGCCACAGTCTGCTCACAACCCTTGGTACTCACCACTAAAACAAAAACCACTCCAAACCTGCGGCCAAGTTTGTAAAAGTTGTCAAATTCCCCACAGCCAAACATGAGTTTGAAAGTCATTATGCAGAATAGACCCAGGCAGTGAGGTGCACAGAGTTTATCACTGCCACCAGACTCCTGGGTGCTCCAGCAGCACCCAGAGTCCCCAGGAAGAGCCCCAGGTTCCCGGTGTGCCACACAGGCACTTCACTGGCTGTGCTGTTTCTCTGACTGACCATACCCCACCCAGAAATCCTAAGATGGCCTTCTCCAATTAAGCAAGTTAGAAGAATAATTTCCCCTCTGTGAGAGATGAGATTGTACGGATTTTAGCATGTCTCAAAAACAAAAGGCAGCTGAAGCAGACTTAAACAGCTGTCTCATAATAAAAGACTTTTTTTATGTACATAATTCTCCATCCCCAAAAGACACAGCTGATGGCTTGTTGCTCAAAATATCAATGAATTTTTAATGCTATTTACTCAAGGAAACTCCTTTGAATATTTCATGAGAGCCCTGTCTCGCAGGTTCAGGCTGGGGTTCTGTGCTGTCGATGAACAGCACTGTGTGTTGTGCCACACCTCAGCTCTGCTGAGCAGGGGGTGCAGCCACCGGGTCCCAGAAAGCAGAGACCCCAGCACCATGGGAGCCACATCCTGCAACGCTGCTGAAGATCTGTGGCTGCAATTCCCTCCTTTTACAACCTCGTGCCTTGCAACCACTCTGCTGGTGTGAAAACTGGGGGGCTTTTTTTGTTTGGTTTGGATTTTTTTTTTCCCCTCCAGGCCCCTTATCTCATTTAAGCATTAGGCCAGAAAGAGAAGAGGCAATAGCCAGGGCTGCAAACATCCCCCATATCACGATCTTGGCTCAGCAGCTGACCCTTTCCTGACCGCAGCCAGGCTGTACCTGGTGACACTGGTGCATCTCTCAGCCCACAGAGGACTGTAGATGGTGCTGGAGGACCAGGGAGCTCCAGTGGGAAAAACCAGGCAACTGCAGATGCTGCCGAAGCCACCCTGAGGATCCCTCGCCGGCAGCTGCCCTCCCTGTCTTTGGGCCCCGAGGAGGGGAAGGACTCACCCAGGGCTCTCCCCGCTGCCAAGCACCAGCCCACGGCCACCACGGGACCCGTTTAGGTCATCTCCCCGTTGGAAAGCCTGCCTGTGCAAAAGTTAAATGAAGGTGCAGGCTGTGACCACAGCCAGCGAGACAAACACTTCCCCTGCAAGCAACAAAACACAATGAGCAAGCATCAGTCTACGCAGGGAAAATAAAAGCAAATTCCGAAAAGCTACATCAGTAGTAGCAGTTAAAAAATAAGACCCATCCGTCAGTCTATACTAACTCACTACTCTGAGTCATGCTCATTTTTCTTTCTTTTAAAACTCATTAAAAGAAGATCAATATTTCTACCAATTCTGCTTGCCTGCAATAAGAAAATAGTGACTAAAATGAGAGCTTTCAAAATTAAACATTGACACACAGATGTAAAAGGTAGGAAGGAGGACAGCATCGTAGCTTTCAACTCTTAGTTTTCATCATTTTTCTGTTGTTCTTTAGAAAAACAAAAAGAAAGAAGCCATAGTGATTACAGACGTTGACAACTGCCGAAATGCCCGTGTGTTGCATGAATACCTGACAGGTGGCAGAAATGCTATGAAGCATAAGACATTTCCTTCATCATTTCTCTATCTTATTCCCTTGCCCACCTGAGAGCAGCAAGCAGAGCACAGCTGCAGAGCAACACACAAGATGTTGGCTCACACTGCTGTGACACTGAGGGTTCTAAAGTCATGGCTATGCACAGCAATGTGAAGATCCACCCTACAGCTCACAAAGTGACATACTTTGAGCTTGTGCAAT